CCTCAATTAACCCCTGGTAGCACATGTCCGGGTCCTGTCCAGTTTAGCATCCTAAACGTTCCTATGTGAGCATTAGGCTAAACTGGACAGGAAGTATTACCGTGAGTAGGCTAAACAGGGTTCCTGTCCAGTTTACGTTGGACCAATGAAGATGCGGCCAGCGCTGACCAATAGAAATTCACCACTATGCTTGACAATCCGGTTGGTCCAGATCCCGTCATTGCCTCCAATGGGTATCCGAATACGGAGACCACACTAGGACGCACTATGCGCCTAAAGAATATATGGACGGCTCGGACCTAGCGTTCAACCGGTACCTGGTGCGGTAGTTGCTGGACTTGGGAACCCACCACAAGGCTGTTAGCCAGAAATGGAAACGGCTCTTACCGCGCACCTGAAAACCCAAGGCGAAAGAAAATTAAAACCGAGGCATAGGAATGCTATATATACATGAAGGGGCGCAGTACAAAGAACGTTAGTAGCAGAAAGCGGCATAGTCAATATTGTTAATCCGCTTCCACGAGTGTCAACGTAGGAGGCTAAAGATGTGCCTAAGGAAGCAGGGGACTCACCTCATTCGCACTGCATACTTTAGATTGCTCAACCGGTGGCCATTTGTGCCGTGCAGAATGCAACCACTTGTTGATGTGCCGTGTAATGTCAGTATCCGAGGCTGCATCACCCATGCGTTGCCGAATCATGCTTTGGTAGTTTTTATGGATTACTGCACTTCAACCTACCTTGTACAAGGCCGTTCATATTTGTTCGCCTGAATGCAAACGAACCTCTAGCGCCGAAATAATTTATCTCCGCGGCAACTGATCTTGTCATTATCCGCTCCATGGTACCCGGGACGATGAGTTGCACGTTATCACCTTGCACAGCATATAAATGGTTGACCTAAAGTAGTTGAATAATAAGACGAACTTACGGCTCTGATTTTGAAATCGGGGTCCTTCAGCCGTTCATCATATCTCTTTAGCTCACTGAGAGAGATGAATGGCAGAGATAGTCCCGGCGCAACACTTTGAGATTGTCGTTGTAGCATTTGCAACATCGCTTCGGACTTGCGGCGATGGCCAACCAATTCTGATCGAATGAGACAAAACTTATCTAAAATAAGGCTGAGTGCAATGCAATACATCTGTGGCGTCTTACATTTTATGGCCTGCAGTTCCTGCAGCACATCCAGATTGCATGGTGCAACGTCAGCAATAACCGGGGGCGCGCTTGCTGTTTAATAGGGGCAGTAGGAAATCGATACTTACGGTTGCTTGTTGATGGCCCTGGACGTGATGGACTAATGCCACTGAACAGAGAGGAGGGCGCACGTGCGTATGTTGCTGTAGAAGGCCTTTTGGGTTTGCTTGGAGGCGCGGCATCCTCGTCATCGGAGCTAGAATGGATGGGCCGGCGTCTAAGGGGAAATAAAAAGCACCATACTCACATTGCACGCTTAGCTGGAAGGCCCATGGGAATTGTATCGTCTGTCTACGACAGCATCCCGCGTTCAGATTGCCGTTCAATTTTTTGGGCATGATGGAAGCTAACTAACGAGGTGGGTTAATATTAGATAAATACTTACTCGTGCTAACGATTATGGACACGGCAGTGCTAACCACAACGACATCCGGCGCAGTGTGAGTTTTCCCCGCTGCATAGTAGTGCGTAACACGCACTGAAGGTAATTGAGCGTACGAACCTTCTTCTCTAAGCCAAGTGTTACTGACAATAGTTATTAAATCCTCGGAGTCAAGGAGTTTGACAGCGCTGTATCCTTGAAAAGCCATCATTGCTGAAAAAGAAAGACGTTAGTAGTTAAAGTGTATAACTGTGTGGCATAGGGTAAATTACAAGGAAATCGTTCAAGGGTAAAGCAACGCACTTAAATAGAATATGACAGACAGAGAAGCTACATACCACAGTCTACAATTGCGATGCACGAAGGATGTACGCAGTTGAGGAATCCATGCTATGCGTGAACAGACTACGGAGATTCATAAATTCCCGGCATTGCACGACAATGTTCCCGGACACATTCACAGACACATCTGTCAGTACTCTGGGTTTGGCATCGATGATGACCACGTTATCCGGCTTCACAGTGGAAAACGAAATGCCGTGCAAACAAAACGCCTTCTGACCCTTATATATGCACAGCTCTACATTCCCAACTGTGCTTGCGTGGCTGGAAGTAGGAGGAAGCTGTTCCTCTTCCGACGTACGCCGCATGATTTGTGCAACCGGACGCGGGGAATTGTGAATCATGCGCTTGATGGAAAACAAGTGAGACTCGAAGGGAAATGCTGAGAAGCTGTCTAACGTCCCCATCTTTCGTACGTCAGCGGGCAGATGAACCAGTGAGTGTATGTTCCACCTCATCTCACAGGAACCATAAAGCTCAAAGTAATCATGTAAAAATACATGAATTAAAGGAACAAGGAAATCAAATATGGCAGTGTGAAGGTGAGGGTGGCACATGATATAAATAGCAAATGAGAGATCTAGAAAGTTTTGATAGAAAGCATCAGGCAATGCCCCAATTAAACAGGCTGGTCCCACGTAGAGCAAAAACTGACGCAACTCAGTTGCCTTCCAAGATCGGTATTCATCCAGTGATCGAAGCTTACGTGGAAGGTCTGATGTCCAGGAAGGCTCAAAGTCATGCAACCGTTCGTTTGCTAAAATCAATCGCTCTCTGCGCAGTCCAAATCCACGGTCCACGGGCGAAGTGAGCCAGTTTTTTATCATTCTGCGCATAACACCCAAACATACTGAATGGATATAGTCAATTGGGAAGTCCTCAAACAAATCGACATTCAAAGCAGCAAAAGGCGATGGTTAGCTATCATTCCTTCGAACGGATGCATTAGTCCGTAGTGTGCTATCCGTAAGTGTGTATGTTACCTTGCGTCTCATATGCTCACCACGCTGGGTGCATTTGTCACAGCTGTAATAACCCGAATGTTCTTTGTTTCTTTTCACATAAGCGCGTGCAGGGGTATCACAGATAACGGCTTTAAGGTTGAATAATCCCTGGCATTGCAAAGTACATATCTTATTAATTGCGTCGTACAAGTAATCGTCCACGTCATTCGGCTTCGAGGTCCCACCATAAACACTAACATTGAATGGCTTCGTGATCACTGGCTTTATGACAAGGCACAAGATTGGCCATACATGCATCTTGGATGCATTAAAAGGTTTAAACCCGTCAATATGCAACTGATAGTGAACAGTGTCATCAGCGGCGAGCGAAATAGTAGAGCATGCACGCTGTAAACCTCTCAGCAGACCTACGTGACCGTAAGTTCCTGGTGAAACAACGCGAATGCTGGAGGTCCTTGGGGTGAGCATCAGCGTCCGGTAATCCTTTGGCAAAAATGGCATCCACGGCTGCACAAGGCACAACAGTGGACGAACAAAAGATGCTGGCACTTGAGATTTTGCGATCAATTTTCTCAAGTAATGTACCAATTCATCGGGTCAGGTCAAAATCCGTGGACGATACAGGCTTCCGCTTAACGAGCGTCCAGCTTCTTGTGCCGGTAAGCGAACCAGAGCCCCCGGCACTTCGACATTTGATCGCCTCTCCTTGCCTCTACAAAAAGAAATGAAGCAAAAGCGAGAGCAATATTTGCTTTTACAAGGACTAACATCAGATATCAGTGCAAATAAATTGGATAGGATTATATTAATTCCGGTAAAATACGCGGCCAGCACCTGTCTAGGCCTGCTTTGAAGGCAACTACAGTCTCACAATCCATCGGGCTCCCTGTCATCTTCACTGCGGTTGATAACTTGTGCAGGTGGCTGAACTGTGTAATCAATCATATTCAAGATATGTTAAAGATGCTCTTACCCTTCTGTCGTTTAGCTTCTGACAACAGAAGCACCTCTTCGTAGCTGAATCCTGATGTCATTGTTTTCGCTGCACGGTAAATGGTGCTACGAGACGGAAACTGTGCAGTTAATTGATAACTTCGTCGACGTGACATGCTGAAAAAGAACACCTACGTATCAAACAAGATTAATCCAAAAAACCTGATAGGTACACCTGCGGAAACGCAGTTTCAAGGAAGCTAAACAATAGCGCAGAACGAAGCAGTATCAGCCACCAATGTTACGAAACCGAAACTCTGCAAATAACATGATCCACCGATGTATTTAAACCACTGGGGTTATGGTCAATTAATAGCAATTATAATGCATACCAACCATTTATTTAATAACAAATGTCAAACTTAATGCATTTTGCTGCAAGAACTGCTTTAATACCTGAACGGGACATCAGTCCAGTTTATGTCCAGTTTGCTACGTTTACCGGTACGATTGTGCTACCAGGGACCTTTCACTGTAATCTGATGACTTCTATAACCCTGTTACGTATCATAATACGACCACAGAGCTTTCCAGAATAGTGATCAGAACCTTCTTTATGCGAAATGGATCCCACAAGTACAACAATCATTTTGACTGTCAATTAGCTACCCACAGCTGCCAGAGATATACCAGGTTATTGCTTTCTTTTCCAAAGAAGGACCAATGATATTGTATGATTTTTACCTACCAGAAAATAACTCATCGTCCTCATTTATTGACATCGTTCATTTTTTGCCAACGTTTACCAATAGTAATCATCATATTGGCGCATACAAACATACATTTTCAGGTTAAGTTGACTAGAAAATACACATCTCCACGCAATTCTAATCACGTCCATGCAGTTAATCGGATGGCTTCGCCATCTTGAATTCACACCGTTTGCCTTGCCACTAGTGGCATCCGTGATTCTACACCTGTGTATGTATATGCGAATGGATTGTTAACTTCAATGATCGTTCAGTGTTTAATTAAATTTCTTCGTAGCTTTAAATCAGCACTTAGCTTTCCAGCAATTAGTTACTTTTAATCAAACTAATTTATTTAGACATTACATCACTACTTTTACCCTTTCTATATATTAATTTTTAAAAGTTTAGATTTTTCTTAACACGAGTACAACAAAACTTTTCCCGCAAGGCCATCAGTCACGGGTTACATGTCGCTCTATATATGTAATTCATTTTTGCCGCTAGGTCAATTGGTCGTAGAATAGGAGCTGTATCGGAGGAAATTGGGTGACGATTGGATCCGTAATCTGATCGGATCATTAAGTTAAACACCCTCGTTCGACACTCTTTTGTCTGTGTAGGCGCTGCCGGAACTTCCTGAACCTCTAGCTGTACTGCAGGACGTTTCCGCCTGTTAATGGATGGAGTGTCTAGCCCTGCTTTGCACGAGAGATAACGTTTCTTCCTGCCATCCCTGTAATAAACCATTACAACCTGATGATCAGAAAAACTGGAATAGTTATATTGACTTAATAATTGAAAAGTGGCAGGGAGATTTGTCTGCTCTTTCCTACTATGTTGGACTTCGCACAAAGCCAAACTGCTGTACTCCAAGAAGCGGCGCATCATGTGTCTTGCATCACGTGACCGAAGATGTCGTGCATCCGACAAATTTTTATGACCTCAGGTAATTAACATTTTGGCGTACGGTCTAATGTGAACCACATGTAGCTGTTCAGATTTTACATCTGGCGGCTTTGTTCCTTGCGAAAAGCGTGCTGTAGATCGCTGCTGCACCAGTGATCACTGCAATATTCCCACATCGACAGAACTTTCTAACCTTCGAAACGTCTCTTCTTTGAACCCTCAGCTTATCCTCATCTGTGTGCTCGCTTCGTTATGTTTTGCACTATGTTGCATCCTATTTGCTTGTTGCTGTCGGATCCGTCGATCTTTTGGTAAGTGTCAGCAGAACATTTTTGACTTGCTGCTTATTTTATGTCACGCGAAACCCGACGCACTATACCGGAAATGGTAATAAAGGATTGTTGTGCTGTGCCGTTCCACTTTCAAGTCAGCCCATAGATTAATTTAGATCATCTATCGTTGGCTATCATGCCTTTAGTCATTGCTGCTGTTTGTCCGCAGCGGTACGTGCATTTAGTAACAATGTTTTCCTCGTCTCATTAGATGCTCGATGCGCGACACAAAACCGATGTGCGCACAATCGATTTGCAATCGCACAGGTGCTCCAGGGCTGCTATCAAATAGGCTCCTCGTTTGTTTAAGCTCGCGCAAATTTTACACATTTTCACGTAGTAGATTCTAAAGTGTTGGATCTTATAGTCCTCATGCTGATAAGGCTGTTTTCGACGGTTTTTGTTTCCTTTCTTCCCTACTGTTTCGCTTCCCGTCGTATCGGTCCTGCTCTGTGTTTCCTTTGTTTCACGTGTTCTTCCGCTTGATCTTTCACGTAGGCGCCCATACTATATGCATCCATTTGACTACGATATGTTACTTTTCCATATGCCTACACAGGAGCAGATAATCAGGGGTGATAAATCTCGTCCGAAACGGCTCCTACCCCATCTAGCTCATAGATCAGATGTGCGCGACGAAAGTGACAGTTTATCCCAATCCATGACCATTGAAACTTAACAAATTAACAGTTCATCATGACAAGATTGGATCTTGGTACCATAATTTGCATACCCCTTTGACCATTGAGCTACGTCGAATTGCACTCTCTCCGGGAGCTATTAGAACCACTCACACCAGACAAGCCAGTTGTTAGGAGTCAGGCTACCTTTACATTAGACCGGCGAGCTCAGTTATCGTCTTCCTCTAAAACTGCCACGGGAGAAGAAAAGTTACAGGCAATAAGCTCCCAGCTCGATTGGCGCAGATCACGAGCGTTTTGCTACCTCTCTGCTCAGACCAAACATCTCTTAGGCACTTAGGTGCATACCAGCTAACTGCACCTGTCTTTGACCTTAGCCGCAAGTGTGCAGCATGCAAAGATCGAAAAACGGAAATTGTTTTAAAAGCTACGCGTGACAGACCTCGAGGGGAGACCTCATGTAGGTTCCAATGAGACTGCATTCGTATTCCTGAACTGAACATGATCCTCACTGCTTTTTGGATCAGTTTATTGAATCAAGGGCTCTGGGTGACGTACCTCAAGCGAGTATGCATGTATGCCACTGTCTTGTGCGTCAGACTGAGTCAAAAGGCACTTCGAACAAAACCGTCTTTTTGGAGTGAGCAGCCATACTTTATCCCGTTACGTTTACTGCTGGTTTCCCCTCTCATTTCAATTCTTCACTGTCTATAAAACAACTGTCACTGCCCTCCCAGTTGGCGTTCTCGATCCATGGGACTTGTCCTTCAAATCCGGTGTGTCATTTCGTCTTGATACTTTCATCGTTCACACTGGGTCAAGTCGGTCAAGAAACATCGCTAACCTTCACTTTCAACTTTGTTGGAAATGATGTATGATGTCTCTGAAGCATAGATACAATATAACAGCGTCATAGTGAGTTTTCGGCTCTATTATTCCGAATCTCCGCAAGTTTTGCGCTTTTCACGTCACTAGGGACAACGATTCGAGTCGGTCACGAGGTCGCCATTGTCCCCACCATACACACTAAGAACAATCCATTCTACTGGATACCAGTGAACAGTCGCGTATATGCAGTTCGACTTTGGCTTATTTTGGGTTGTGTCGGCCGGTGGCGTTTGGCTTGTAATTCACACGTCATCGTTTCGAAGCTACGTAGCTGTGTGCGTCCTCAAACTATCCCTAGCCCGCACGACTACTAGCGGCCACGTGGCAGCAAAGCGTCATGGGGAATAGCCACCACTCGAACATGTAGTGCCTATTCATCGTATATATCTACGTCTTTACCGATTGAAGCTCGAATGGTGTCAAGGGCGAATTTCGTTGCAAGCCTTCATCTCTTACCCGTATGACAGTATACTGGTATCCTGTTTGCTACTTGGGGGCATGAATACCCAATTGAGGCACCTCTCTGACTGTGAACAACCCTGGCTGACCGTTTCCGAGCCCTGTGCACCTCCGACAGATAATGTCGGCCGATTCCCGAAACTATGTGCTAATCGCAATCTTTATGAATATCGTTGTTTTTCATTCTGAACATTCACATTGTGTCACATGTTACTCACCGAATTCCTCGGTAACCTAGACTCAGATTGACTATGTTGCCACCATCTACACATGGTACACCCACAAGTTGGAGTACGTAGATTAATTCCGATCACTCCCTACGCCACTTATGGCGCCGGCGCGACATCACTCTTGCCCTGTGGGGTAGAGTGTACAATGCAGCGGTATGTCCGACCCTACTCTATGGTTGTGAAACGTGGCCCCTTAGATCAGCGGACATAAAGAGGCTGGTTACGTTCGACCATCGGTACCTTCGCAATTTAGCTCACATCTGGTGGGAACACTGAGTAAGCAACGAGCATGTTCAACGCCTTGTCTACGGCACAGCAAGAGGAAATGAACCGTTCAACACACCAGGCTCCGATCGCTCGGCCACATGTTACGCATGCCAGCCCACCGACTCCCGCTACGTGCGTTGTTCGCGCCGGGGGTGTGAATGGAAGAAGAGGAGAGGTGGCCAAGCGATGACTTGGTCGAGAGGAATGAAGGCCCTCACTTCGAAGCTGGCCTCGGTTGGAGCGTCCCGGCTCTCTGGTTGGCGTCCGAAAGACGATGAACACGTTTGGCTGGATACACTTTTTGATATAGCTAGGAGCCGACCTCGGTGGCGTTCGTGCTGTAAGTTTCTTTGTCCTCCCCCATTCTTCTTAGCCTCCCCCTCCAACCACGATCTCACTGTTTAGCCCTTTGTAATTTTGCATAGTAAATTATTTTTTTCTGCTACATAGTAGCCGGCTGGTAGCTTACCGGGCGATGCCCATCCGTTACCGGTAGCTCAGCTGGCTTACACCTGTTGCATTTTATTCCATTTTTCTCTTAGGTATTGCGGCACAGTAGCTGAGGTGTTTCCCACCTCTAACCAAATTGTATAATAATAATAAATTCTATCGCTCCCTAGGGTGTGCACGCATGATACTGGCTTCAACGAAGCGCCCAATTTCTAGGCTTCTCGTGACATGTACTCCACAATCCAGTGATGTCACGACGAACTGGCTCACCAGTTGTCGGTGACGGATTAAGTTGGTGAGTCGAATGTCGACTGGAATCGTCTCGAACGTGCCATCAAGAATGCTTATGTAACTTACTATCCACTCAGATTGAGGTGTCTAAACTGCTAATAGATTTCTGAATTATTACTCAGTTTGATCGAAGTACGCGGACACTTTCCGTTGGGTACTGAGTTTCATTGTGCCTGTAGCGCTTTGAAAAGATGATTTGTTGAGACTTTTCGTATTGACAGCGTTGGGGTTTGGTTAGGTTGACTAACGATGAAGACATCGCTATTGGTAACAGCCGCGTCCCGTTCTAACACAGGTCCAAAAAGATTATCACTGCTGAGAAAGCTGAACAGCTGACATTCACAGCCACGTCGACTTTCCTGATAGGCGAAACATTTCGAAGATCAGTTCAGCGGCGACCTTGTCGTTTGCTAAATCACCTGAGTCCACTTTGAAAGCTGGTGCCACACCTACTTTGGAAAAGATTAGATATGGACACGCTGTATTGAAAGGAAATAAGACTCCTGGACCAGACGAATTTTATCTTCTCTGTAAGATAAAAGTGGCTTTGTTGACTGAATTTGCTACTCCGTTCAACACTGGGCGCTGAAGATGCTTTCAAGTTGGCGGTTGTTTACTGTCCTTATCTTCAAAAGGATCAAAAACTTTATGCTGAAATCATGAAAACATTAGTCTGACTTCCATTGCCTTCAAACCACTCTATGATGATTCACCGGTCCTCCTGGGATGCGAGTTATTGAAAATAAGACCAGCTTCCGCTTTTGTCGTGATTGCGTTGACCACATATTTACTCTTCGTCAAAGTGGAGCAGACCTTTACAGACATACGACTTTGGTGGTTTCTCTTGACCTGACAGCCGCTTTCCACTGTTGATCGTGCCAAGTTACGGTACTGCCTATCCGTCAGTGTCGTGCCAGGGAAGTTTCTTTCCATTCTGATATCTCTCTAGCGCTACTCTTGAAGGCGGGTAACAATCTACGGGAAGCTGTCTCTTGAGTTTTCCACCTTAAGTTGCGTTGGCCGGGGCTGTCTTGTATCACCTTTGCTCCTCAACTTTGTGATCGAAATGATTATAACTGACCATGATTATAACTGACCATTCATCATCAACTGCAGTACACCAACCAGTTAAACTGAAGCTTCGCTGTCATCCTGTTAGTCTCTTCTGGAGCGGAATTTCTGCCGTATGTCCAGTGGACAGATCTTGTACAGGCCTACAACATTTCTCTCTTCGGGTCAGACGCGGTATTTATGCAAACACCACTGAATGGACTGATACTTGGCGTTATGTTTCGTTAGATGGTTCATGCTGTCTTCGTAAATATGGACCTCGGGATCCCTCACGTTAGCGGCTGGAGACCCTATTGGACATGACGCAGTCGTGAAGTCAGTTTCTCGCATCAAGTTGTTAACATTCAATCTCGATTAATTTTACCGCTTCCTTAATCTCCCTTTTGTACCATGCTTGCATTCCACCTCATTTTCGGATTGTTGCTACTTGTTGTTATCCTGGCGACGCGAGTCCTAGCCAATAGATTTACCTTACTTCGGTCGCCGGATCGTAGTTGTTTAAGTAAAATGAACTGGAAATCGGCGGCATCCCGCATCAGGGCTCATTTTAACGGTGAACTTTCCTACAGTCCTCCGCTCCAAGACTCGCAGTGTATTGCGATTCATTTCACCCAGTTGACATGGAAGCTCTTGGAACACCGATCACTTAGATTACTCTCATAGGTTAAGTGCTGATTTCTAT